TATCCATATAAATTTATTTATTACTCCGTAGTTTAACTTTTACTCTATATGTATATGATCTCTTATTTGAATTGGCCTTGTTAATTTTTTAAACAAACTTAATTTTACTCTTACAATCATGAAAAATTATACGGAGTAAAAATATATAAAATTATTTTCAAATGCATTTATTAATGCAGGAGTGCAGAGTTGTGTAGAATAGGAAAGTTAGAATAAGACCATACACTTATTTTAACATCTTGTGAAACTGAATACAGAATAATTTGGCTCTGTAATCTGTATTTCTCGACAATTCTTTGTTATCAAGACATTTATGGACAAAACTAAAGTCTTTCTATTTTGTCTTTAACTTCACTAGCTCAAATTTGTGATATCATTCTTAGACAACTTGAAGAGTTGACTTTTTGTTCGGTTCAAGTCAATCACCCTTCTTTTTTTCAGGAAATAGGTCAATGACCCTTCTACTTCTACTCGTATTTTCTTTCTTTGTTTGTATATATGAGTATTTTACAATTCTTTATACTACGTATTTTCTATTTTGTTAAATTAAAAAATAGAAAAAGAGCAAAAAATAATTGGTGACATTCTGAAAAGAGATTTTCTAACAAGCATACAAGTATGATCACGAATACTTGTTAATTACTTAATTACTCCTTAGAAAGTAACATTGGCGCCCAATTAAAGATTGTGTTAAACACACAAACTTTAAAATGAATTTCATTTGGATCATTTAATTTAACTTGCATATAAAATTCATCATTATTGATTATTTCTGTAGTACAATCAATTGTACTATGCACAAGTATAATCCTAATTATAGAACGGTAATACTATATCATTCACCTTTCAGTTAAATCAATTGCTAAGACATGTTAATACTCAACTCGATTTGGCTGTTTGATATCCCTATTTAATAAACGGTAATACTGTATCATTCACCTTTGAGTTACAAACAAAAAAAAAAAAAAAAAAAAAGGCCAATATAAGGGAAAATAAAATCGTCAATTCGTCATCAACAACAACAAAGTCGTGAGTTTCATGAGAAGACCAAGACATTAGAAAAGTGGCCCAAACCAAAAAATAAGGCTTTTAAACATTGAAGTCTTATAACGTGGGCTACAAATTGGGGTGTGGACGGTAATGCAATTGTGTAATGCTGGACAAGCGTCATTTCCACACCAAAATTTGCCTCGTTTCAAGGATAAACGAGTAGATCCACCGAGTGAGCAAGTACCAAACTACACAATAATTATTCAATGGAAAAATTATCAAAAATAATACAAATTTTGAACAATCCGCTAAAAATAAGTCAATTTTTTTAATTATTTTTTAATAATACAAATTTTGAGGGTTATCCGTTTTAAACAAGTTAAAACCGATTAATTACCTCATGAATAGATTATATAGAACACGTGATATTGTATTATTTTCTTAAAACTATTAAACAACTTTATAAGATAAATAATAATAATAAAAAACGGTTAAATAACTTGTAGGTAAAATAACTTGTTTAAAGCAGATATTCTTGAAAGTTTGTATTATTTAGAAATAATTAAAAGTTTGACTTGTTTTTAGCGGACCGCTCAAAGTTTGTATTATTTTTGACAATTTTTCCTTATTCAATTACTCAATTATAATTCACAAACTTCATGATAGTTTTGGGCATGGACGATAACACGAATTGTTTGTAATAAAAATTTGGACAGTCGGACCGAAATATATACTTCCTCCGTTATTTTATTATTGCACCACTTGCCTTTTTAGGAAGTTTCACAAATATTGCACCATTTCCTCTTTAGGAAAAAATTATTTATGTTTACACTACAAATACCCAACATACCCTTGCTTTTACACACTTACTTTTTAATTTATCAATATGTCACATGGACAATTTTGTATTTTTACCTTTATCTCTCTTACTTTTTTCACTACCAAAATATTTGTACCTAACTCGTATGGTGCAATAATAAAAATATATCTCTCTTGTGCATCAATCGGTATTTTGGGAATCATTTTTAAAATTGATGCACAAGAGGGATATATTTTTGTTCCTACAATATTGTAAGAAATCGTTCCTCTTACTTTACCCAATTTTTTTCCTTACTCACGCATCCCTTCAACACTCTCTCCAACAAAATCAATTTACCAGTATATGCAAACAATAATAAATAACTATATTTGTACTCCCAATTCCCGTTTTAGTTCTTGTATAATTAGTATGGTTAAGAGAGTCAAGTTGTCTCATTGTAGTGTCGAGAGTCGTTGGGAGCTAGTCTCCTTTTGAACCATTGTTTTAAAAAAAAAAAAAAAAAGATCATTTGGGAAAATAGGTAAAATGCGGTGTCATTAGTGAATTAGAATAATCCTAATAACATGTTAACTTTTAGTTAACTACAAGAAGTGTACAATAATATAAACTAACTTCATATTCAAATAAGACGGTGTATGCTTGGTTAATTCGTTAGACGTTGAATGAGGTTTCACAATCTATATATGGATCTCCCTCCGAGTTGGTGGAAGCATCTTTGGGGTTCACAATTACTGCCGAAATAGAAGATGTTTAGGGCCTGTTTCGATTGACTGAACTCAACAGAATTGAACTGAACTGAACTTATTAATTAGTGATTTTTAACTACGGATTAGTGATCTTTGATTATTTATTGATTATTTATTAATATACATATGTGTACATACAAATGTACATATTATTATTATTATTATTATTATTATTATTATTATTATTAATTATTGATAATAATTATTATTATTAATTATTGATGATTATTATTATTATTATTTATTGATTATTATTATTATTATTTATTGATTATTATTAGTATTATTATTTCAATTATTATTATTATTATTATTATTATTATTATTTATTGATTATTATTATTTATTACTTATTATTATTATTATTATTATTATTATTATTGTTATTATTATTATGATTGTTGTTGTTGTTGTTGTTGATGCTGTTGCTGCTGCTGTTGTTGTCGTCGTCGTCGTCGTGGTTGTTGTTGTTGTCGTCGTCGTTGTAATAAGAGCTTAAAAGAATGAAATTTGGCTTTATATCATTAGCAATATCATTAGACGTAAATTAAGAGCTGAACGGAACTGAACTGAATTTCAACGGAAGAGAACAGGCCCTTACATGGAAAATACTTCATAAGCATTACCTACAGCTTTATTGTTACGCTTGCGAGGTAATCCTATGGATCTTCGTTGTGCTTTTTGTCATTTGGATTTGGAGACTTCTTCACACTCGGGATTGTGCCTTTTCTCGGGGTTTATGGGAGAAACTGCCTTTAGATTGGTCTGTTGATTGACATCTCTTGGTCTCAATCTTTTGAGGATTGGTTCCCTGAGATAATTTCCCGGTTTATTAGGCTAAAGGCCTAGTTGAAGTTGGATTGTCTTTTTAGTTTGATGTGGGCTATTTGGCTTACTCGGAACAATCTACGACTTTAATCAACGGTTTATTCCCTGCAGACTGCTTGGGATTTGGCTTCTAGTTGGATGGCCCGGTGTTCTGTAGCCCGAGACTTCATTTAGGTTGATCTTCCTACTACTCCTCCTGGGTTCTCATGCTCTTTGCTTCCAATTGTTCTTTGAGGTATGGCTACTGATGGTTGGGATGTGATTTGATGATGCTTGGGATTCTAAGGACCATTCGGCTGGTAGGGGTTGGGTCTTCTTGGAGGCTGATTCTGGTCTTCCGGTAAGAGGGGGAGCTCAAGTGTGTGTGTGTGTCTACTTTTGTTTTTCATTCAGAGTTGTTGGCTTGTTTGTTCGCTTTACGTCATCGAAAGCAACGAGGTTATGCTTGAATTAGGTTGTTCACTAACTGCAGTCCTTTGTTGGATCCTCTCCTTCCTCTTACTTTGGTTGATATTGCTATTCTTTAGACTTATTAGGAGAATATGGAGCTTATTGCCTCTTTGGTGGTTTGTCACATTCAGAAGGTTCCTGGGAGAAGGTGGCTCAGGTTCATGTCTTGGCTACGGCAGCTAGGCAACGTGCTTGGTTTAGTTTTTAATGTCTGTGTTTTTCTTGTTTTTTACTTTATTGTTCTCTTGTCAAAGAAAAAAAAACCTTTATATTCAAATTAGTATTTTGTCATTTCCCTTTTTCTATTAGTATTCTTACCTTGTTTTATAATTTTATCCAACGATAGTGAATTTTTTTTTATGTGGCTTGGCATAATGCATGCAAAAATATGTCTAAAACCTTTCTTTAGACCCCCCCTTGAGTTACCACAAGTCCACACCCTTTGAGACCCCTACAACCCTACTCTTACTTTCCCTACAACCCTACTCTTACTTTTTCCTTTATTCTCGATATTAAGAGCTTGTGAACAGGGGCGGAGCCAAGGGTGCTGGTGGAGGCCCGACACCCCCGTGACCCAACTGGTGATATATGTAATGTATAGTCTCCCCCCAGAATAACTAATAAATAGCTAATATTTACCATATATTTCATGTTGTTAGTGATGACCCAGTTGGTTTGTTGGAGCTTTGCTTGGTTAGAGGAGGTCTCAAGTTCGATTTCCCCACTTTGGGCGTTTATTTATTTTTGGTTTTTTTTTTATTTTTTTTTATTGGGTTAACTTTATCGTTTCTTGGCCCCCATAGATTTTTATTCCTCCTTGTGAATTGTCAACTCCACCTTATTCACTAGGTGAAAAAAGTGCTTTGGCAGCGGTTCAAACCCGGTCTAAGGCACCGGTTTGAACCGCTGCCTATGTGGGGGGTGCCAAATACCCCCTTTTTAGCACCGGTTCAAAACCGGTGCCATAAATCCAATTAGGCACCGGTTAACCGGTGCCAAAATATTTATTTCATTGGTTTTGGCACCGGTTAACCGGTGCCAAAACTGCCCAATTTTTTTTTTTTTTTTTTTTTTTTGTTTTGTTTTGTTTTGTTTTTGTTCTTGTTCTTTGTTCACTTGAAAATTGGCAGAAAACTAATACAGCACCAATTTATAACATTAATTCATAATCAGTAATAACACACCAAATATAATTGAAATTCATAATCACCAAAATGTTACATAATACATTAATACATAATATAATTGAAATTTATAATCAGTAGTTTTACACTTGCCCAAAAAAAAACCAAATGGATTCGACGAACGAGCTCAGTAGCTGAATTGCAGAAGCAAAGTATCGGCCACCAATTTTCGACGAAGATAACTCACGAACTGAAAATTGAAAAAAAACAAAAACGATTATATTCAGATAATTATACCCAGAAAACACAAAATTATAAAAAATAAAATTGAAAAAAAAATACAAAATCCCCGAAAAAAAAACAACCCAGAAACTCAAAAAAAAAAAAAAATACACATACATGTAATAAAAAAAAATACCCAAAAAACACATGCATGTAATTAAAATTGATTAATCAACCCAAAATTAAACCCAGAAAAACGAGAACAAATCGAATTAAAATACAAAACCCATTAAATTCGGATAATTATACCCACAAAAATCGAATTAAAATCCAAAAATTGATTAAATAAACCCAGAAAAATCGATTAAAATCCAAAACGATTACTTAAACCCTAAATTCAATCCAACATAATCGATTAAAATCGAATTAAACTTATAAATTAAACCATAACCTTGTATAAATTATACCAAAAAAAAAACACATGCATGTAATTAAAAAAAAAAAACCCAAAAAAAACACATGCATGTAATTAAAATTGATTAATCAACCCAAAATTAAACCCAGAAAAAACGAGAACAAATCGAATTAAAATACAAAACCCATTAATTTGGATAATTATACCCACAAAAATCGAATTAAAATCCAAAAATCGATTAAATAAACCCAGAAAAATTGATTAAAATCCAAAATTGATTACTTTAAACCCTAAATTAAATCCAACAAAATCGATTAAAATCAAATTAAATCCTAACCTCGTATATTATACCCAGAAATTGTTGTTGATGTTGATGTCGGTGGGATTTGCGGCGGCCGTCAAACTTTGCGGTGGTGATGATGTGGTGGTGGCGGCTTTGCGGTGTTGTTGTTGTTGTTGTTGTTGTTGTTGTTGTTGCGGTGGTGTTGTTGTTGTTGTTGCGGAGATGCTCGAAGAGAAAGAGAAGAGATTGGGAATGAAGGAGATCTAGAGGAGAGAGAAGGGAGAGCAGAGGAGAAGGGAGAGCAGAGGAGAAAGAAGAGGTGGGGTTAGAGGAGAGAGAAGAGGCAGAGTGATTTAGGGTTATAAGTAATGTCCGGTTTTTTAAAAAAAAATATTTAAAGGCCCGGTTCACAAAGGCACCGGTTCAAACCGGTGGCCTTTATGATTTTGGCACCGGTTTGAAGTGAACCGGTGCCTTTTACTCTGGTTCAGCTTCCCACCAATTTTGTAGGCCATTTTTGGCACCGGTTTGGACTGAACCGGTGCCAATTAGGGGGTGCCTTTTTGATATTTTCTACTAGTGATTGGTTCTTAATTCTTCATTGAACATGCTATCTTTGGTCCCATCCAAAGAAACCACTCCATTCTAAACAAAGTTACTAATTATTTCAACTAATGTTTTCCAACTACATGGAAAAGAAATCAGCAAGAACAAAGCTTGCAATTTCATTTTAGTGAACTTGTTAATCAGTCACTGAGATGCTCATACACCAACTCTTCACATTTCAATTTCAAATTATTAACTATCTTGATTAACGGAAGTTTTCATTTGTTATGTGCAACTTCATTATTATTATTATTATTATTATTATTATTATTATTATTATTATTATTATTATATATATATATATATATATATATATAATTCACTTGGGTCATGTTAAATCCTTGCAATATAGCAAGTCTTCTATCATTGGTCTATAGATGGAGTAATTGGTTGATGTCACATTAACCATGGAGCTACCACTTGGATAAAAATGTCAAAAACCGACTCGACCAACCTAACCCAAAACCGATCCAGGAAAAATTCGACTCAGATTTCGACTAGTATGGACACTAGTGTAGTTACAAAATTTGATTCAGTCTAACAATCAAGATCAAAATCAAAATCGCAAAGGTAGTAAGATCTTATCAGGATTGGTCATAATCATACAGGATCAGGTAGGATTGTTCAAAATCCTACAGGATTGCGTGTCGAATGGGTCAAGATCAGACGATCCTACTTTTTCATTTGGATTATTGTTGGAGCATACAGGATCGTGTAGGATTGGTTAGAATCGTATAAGATCGAGTGGAATCATTTAGGATCGGATGCTTATACTTTTTACTTATTAAAATAAGCCTAAAGCAACCAATCTTTTCTCCAAGCCTAGAAAATGAGTACCTAACTACTTAAACTATACATTTTGACATTTTTATTTCTTGAAAGATGGGTATTTAGCTATGTAGCAACATTTTTATTGCCCCTTTTATCAATTTTGTAGTATCTTATAATTCTAGTATTTAATTTTACTGATTCAATCCTACCCCCTTTCACCGAACTTAGCTTAGGATATCCAAATTGACTCTAATACTAGAATATATAATAAGAAGATGTAATACTAGAATACATTATCGCGCAATCTTCTTATTAAGATATCCAGATTCACCACATCGATTTATCGTGGCAGATCAATCGCGCAATTTGGTTGGGTTGCAAGTCATGATCATTATTATTCATGTATTCGCTCATTCATGATGTAACTTATTCACTTCAAGATACAATAAGTATATCACAAACTATTGGCTGCGTCCGCCCGCACCCAATAGTTTGTGCGGCTATTCTCCATTTTTCTCAGTTTCACTTTTCTTCTATTTGAAAATCAGAATTGTGAACTTTTCTCTCTCCTCTTTCTTCTTTCTTCCATCAATTTGTGATTTAATTGGAGGCGATTTGCAATTTTGTACCACCAATTGTTACAATTTACGGTTTGTGGTCGGAGGTGGTGCTGCAATTGGGTGATTTTGGGGAGGAGCAGGAAGATCTAAGTCGAAGTGTTGAACCACCGTGAGTTCTAGACATTGAAGATCGACCACCGTGAGTTTTGGGTCAAGACAATCGACGATAACCGTGACATGGAAGACTGGTTGCAGGTGAAGAATGGTATGGTGGTATGGTGTTGAACGACGGACAGTTTGATAGTTGTGCGGTCGTTGTGCAGGTGTGGTGGTGGTGGGGGTTAAACTCGACTGATGAAAATGGTAAAAGAATTAATTAGAGAAGGAACATGATGAAGAAAGGAGGAGGCATGGAGTAATGAAGTATGTAGGCATGAAAATGAAATTGAGAGCACTCGTATCAGTGAGCATTTTTTTGCTCATGAGCAAAAATGGTAAGCAAATTTGGTAGATATGGTACTACATCAATGAGGAAAATGAAAAATGCTCATGAGCATTTCAGAAATTGCTCATAGGATGAGCAAATTTCATGATGAATAGTAATCTCGTGGGCCCCAACATTTATTCAAAATTGATGACCAAAAATGATAGAAATGTTACTAAATCAATGAGCAAAATAAAATATGCTCATGAGCAATTTAATTATTTTTTATCACTAGTGGGATAAAATTTCCTCACCAAAAATGCTCATGAGCAAATTGGTTGGGAAGAAAGAGAAAGTGGTTAGAGAGAGAATGAACAATTTTTTTTTGTTCACTATGTGAGTGCTCTGAAGGAAAGAGATCTAATCTTGATTATAGAAGAAGAGGAGTGTGGTATTGAGGAGAGAGAAAGAGTGAAAGGGGTCACGTGAAAAAGGAAAGGAGAGAGAAAGAGATGAATTACCATATAAGCTAATAAATATTCGATATCAAATATTAATAAAAAAAATGTACTTCCAAAAAAAGGACCCTATCAGCCAACAAGAGGAATATGTCAGCCAACAAAAAGTATAAATTAGCCAAAAGACGGGACATATCAGCCAACAAATGAAGCATATTAGCCAACAGAAGGATCAAATAAAAGCAACATGTAAGCCAACAAAAGAAATATACCAGCCAACAAAAGATGCATATCAGGCTATCAACCAATAAGAGGAGTATATCAGCTAACAAAAGATACTTAATAGCCAACAGAACATATCAGCTAACAAAAGTTTCATATCAGCCAACAAAAGGATGAAATCAACATGTAAGCCAACAAAGTGAACATATCAGCCAACAAAATGATACATGTAAGCCAACAATTAAAATATACATATCAACCAACAAAATAAATATATCAGCCAAGTAAAAAAACATATAAGCCAAATGATGTTTGATATCAGCCAATAAAAGGAACCTATCAAAAATTAAAAAAAATGAAATATACCAATTAACAAAAAGAATATATTAGCCAATACAAAAATCATATCAGCCAACAAATGAAACATATCAGCTAACACATGAAACATATAAGCCAACAAGTAAAACATATCAGCCAAATCAGCCGCACGGAAATTTGTGTGCGGACATCCGCACGCAATACGCTCTCTAAGTATATTTGTACCTAGTGTGGTTTAAAACTATTTTGATATCTTCAAATGTAATTTTCTTCCTATGCTCCAAATTAATTGATACATATCTTTAATTATCAATATATATATATATAAAATTATAAAAAATAAATATTTTGAAAATCCACCATTGAAATAACCTAACAACATAATCCTACATGATAATTTTGTTTTATAATCTACTCCTATAATAAATAAAAAAAATTAGTCAAAAATAGATATTTTAAATCACAATGCGTCAACTAATTTAAAACGTGTACCATAGTATTAAGTCTTGTTCAGTTTATCTTAAACAAAATAATATTTAGTATAAATAATTTGAATTTAACAAAAATGAGATGAAATGAAGAGTATTACCTTAAAAAAAAAAAAAAAAAAAAAAAAAAAGGGTTGTAATAGAAGTTTCCTCATACCTCTGTGTTGCGGTGTTACAAGCGGTTTGAATTATAAAACCTGATTCGCACCTATATATTAGGATTCATTTTGCCTAAAATCCTCTGTTTTCCCCTAACCCATTTCTGATCATCCTTTTGCTTCGCTGCTTAGGGTTTCATTTTCCCCTTTTCAAGTCATCTTTATCTTTCTATCCAATTCTGAGGTAATTCATTAATTCCCTTGATTTTTTTTTTTTGTGATTCTATTTCATATTAAGTGATTTATTCTGATTGTTGATGTTGATTTTAGCATAGGATCTCTCGTAGTTAAAGCGTTTTGTTGATTTTGATGTTGCCAACTCTGATGATATTATCTTCGTGGGATTTTGATTGTTGAGTGTTTAATTGTTTAAATTTTTGGATTGTTTGAATTTTGTTTACGTAATTGGGTTATCTGTTGTTTGATTTTGTTCATGCTTTTCGTCTTCCTACGACTTAACTTGTTATCGAATGAATTCGAATTTTTTATATGTTCTTTTCGCTTTCGGGTGCAAATGAAGTTTCGAGATTTTGCTGGAGATTTTGTGATACAAATTATTTGTTTGATATTATTGTTGTTTGCTTTTATTTTGTTGTGATGTAGTAATTTGTGATTAAGCTTTGGTTAATGAAAATTGGTGTTTTACTTTTGGGTTGAAGTTGCATAATCTGTGGGAGGCATTGGGTTGATGGATGCATCTCTGCCATGTTATCTTGTAAAGTATTAGATAAAGGAGGTATCTTTTTTATGTTAGATTTGCTCTTTCATAGATGATAGATCCATCCTTTTGAAGAAAAATAATAATTCCATCTGCCTTAGGATTAGTTGCCTTAATAGTTTTATAAAGTTAGGAAATCAGCAACACATTTCCTACTATGTAAGTGAATTATTATTAGATTTTCAATTATCACCTCATTTACCCAACTTAAATAGAAGGTTGAATAGGAGATCAAGAGTTCTATTGTATTGGGCACTATATTTTTATGATGAACTCATGGAAGCTCTTTGTCGGGCATTTGGTATGAGTTGGGGATTAGGATTAAGGATAAAGTTAAACGTTTGGTCAAGGATATGGATTTTTTCATGGGGACTTCATTTAATCCATATTCTTTGTTTGGTATGAGATGGGATTAAAATGGGATGTTCAGCAAATGTATTGAATTTCCTTCATCATTTTGGGTACAATTTTTAACCCGATTCCTCCCTAGGTATATAATTGGTGGGATATAGGGCTTTAGTTTTTTTATTCCTCATCTTA